AAACCCATGCAGACGTACCCAGACAGACCCCCCCCCAATTGCACCCCACATGCAACCCTGCAAACCTCCCCTGCCTGGATTTGTGGGCACGGCAGAGGTCGGGCGAACGCACCCACACACACACACACACACACACCTACCTTTTGCACGTGTAAATGCGTGTTGTGTGTGTAAATGCCGTACCAGGAGTTGGCGGGAGCGAGCCTGCAGAGAGTCCTCCTCTTCCTCCTCTGCGGAGACCCTCTGGGAAGGGTGTGCAAGCGCAGCCAGGCGGCTTACAAGGAACAATGCAGCCCGCCGCGGTGACACGGTCGTGTGAACGGGGCAGGGGGCGGGGGGGAAGAATATTACCTTCCCTCCCAAGGCGTCGCGCGTGAGGGCAGCCGCGCACGCCTCCTCGCCTCCCCGGAGGGCTGCCCAGACGAAGACGCCGCCTCAGGCAGGGGGGTTCCTCCTCCCCTTACACTCGACGGCGCGGCGCTTTGGGGACTCCTCCCCGGTAGGGCGAGGCCCGGCGTCCGGGGGTCCGAGGATAGAGACCCGGCTTCGCCTCAGGGCTTCGAAGCCGAAGCGGCGGCGGCGGCGAAAGAAGCAGCAGCGGCAACAGCCCTCCGGTCTCTTCGCGCCATCGATTCTCCTCAGCAGCGGCCAGGCGGAAAGGCCCGGCGCGCCCGCCTTCAGCGCGCGCCTGCGCTCGAGCCAGCCAGGGAGCGCGAGGGAGCGCGCGCCCTGGAGGGGGCGGGGCGGCCACGCCCACCCCTCAGCGCCGCATCTCCAAGCAACCAAGCCGCGCCCCTTCCTTCCTTCCTTCCTTCCCTCCCTCCCTCTCTCTCTGCCCCGCCCACTCTAAACTATAGAGAGCTCGAACCAATCGCTTTTCCCTTTCGTTGATTGACGGGTTCTGGAGGTGGGACGAGGAGGAGGAGAAAAGAAGGCAAATCCCGTAAACCCCGCTCACTTGCCACGGATCCTTGTTTTCTCATTGGCCGGCAGCCCGTCAGGCTTGGGCTGGGGTTCTCCGGGCGGTCGGAAGAGGCGGGGCGGAAGTCCGAACGGCGGTCGGGAGGCGTGTCCTCGGAGAAGCCGGGCCTCTAGGCCGCGAGGTGGGTTTGAGGGAAGCAACCGGTTCTCTGAAGGGTCCATGGCGGCGAGGTGGGTGTTGTTGTTGAGGGGCGGCCTTTTATGACCGCAGAGCCCCCCACCCCGTGGCTGGGCTTCGGAGGAGAGGGGCGGGGAAGAGGTCGCGTGAGGAGAAGGCGGAGCGAAGATGATCCGGTTCTGCCTGTGAGGGACAAAACCTGATACGAACCGACCTTTGCGAAACTCTCCCTGTTCGCCCTTTGGCCAGAGACGCCGAAGATCCAGCGACGGACCACATTAATTCATTATTAAGATGCCGTTTGCTCGTCCCTCACGCAAAACAAAAGGCTTCCCGAAACGGTGCCCTCCGGATTCCCGCTTCCATCATCCCCAGCCACAGCCAACTCCACCTGGGGCTCGTTGGAGGCTACCGGAGTGGCATCTCTCGAGGGTCCAGAACCCTCCGGGGTTCCTCATAAAAGAACTTGAGCACAGGCAGGCCTGGGAGTTGCTAGGATGGGAGACCACCAGGAGAGATTTCAGGGAGAGAGAGCGAGAGAGAGCCATTTAGTCCAGGTAGTCCTCGACTTACGACTTACAACAGTCTCTTTAGTGACCAAAGTTATAACAGGACCAAAAAAGTGACTTAGGACCATTTTTCACACTTAACGACCGTTGCTGCATCCCTGTGTGATCAAAATTCAGACAGGTGACAATTGACTCATATTTATGACAGTTGCAATGTCCTGGCATCATGTGGTCCCATTTAGCGACCTTCTGACAAGCAAAGTCAATGGGGAAGTCAGATTCACTTAACAATCAGGGTTTCAACAACCCTGTTTCCCCAGAAAATAAGACTGGATAATAAGCCCAATCAGGTTTTTGAACGTATGCGCTAAAATAAGCCCTCCCTGAAAATATTGCAACACAGCAGCAGCCATGAGGTGCCCATGCTCGCCGCCTCCTGCACCTCAAAAATAATTAGACTTCCCCGGAAATAAGGCCAAGTGCTTATTTCGGGGGCCAAAAGAAAATAACACCCTGTCTTATTTTGGGGGAAACATGGTAACTTAATAGCTGCACCTTAACTACTGTGGCTAGAAGTCATAAAATGGGGCAAAATGCACTTAGCAAATGTTTTGGTTAGCTACAGACATTTTTGGGCTCCATTGTGGTCGTAGGTCAAGGACTACCAGCATTGTTGCTGACAAAAACAACAAGGCCTCCATTAATGTATTGAAGGGCCAGGCTAAGCCTTCTGATCCCAGGTATTAATTGCTCGGCCTGCTCTATTTTCTTCACCCTTCCTATATTGTAATGAGCCGTATTGTTGTGTGCCACATGTGCACCACACCCATCTACTATTTATTTATTAGCTTTTAAAATTTCTACAATTTGGGGACATGTACAAATAAAAATCCCATCTGCAATAAAGATAGTCCTTGATTTACAACCGTTCATTTAGTGATCTTTCAAAAGTTATCACAACACAGGGGTCTTATAATCATTGCAGCATCCTCAGGGTTATGTAACCAAAACTTGGCCCCTTGGCAAGTTGTGTGTATTTAGGATAGATGCACCCTCCTGTGGTCAGGTAACATTCCCAGCCAGCTTCTGGCAAGCAAAGTCCATGGGGAAGCTGGCTTCATTTAACAACTGCAGTAATTTGCTAAACTGTGGAAAAATGTCATAAAGTGGGGCATGTCATCTAGCAGACAGTCTTGTTTAGCCATAGAACTGTTGGGTTCATAAATCAAGGACCACCTGTGGTGGCCAGGTAATAAATCGTCTCAAAACACGGGTTGTTATTCATCCATATTAAATCACAGCTGCCACCCTCATGATTCTATGTCAATTAATTTAAAAGTTTAAAAGTTCCATGGAAGAGCTCTGATTAAATGTAATTCTTATGAATTTATATGTTGAGACTTGCATAGAGGGAGGTAGAGGGAAGAATTTGTTCTGCAGCTGAAGAAATAATGGGTATTGCTGCATCCTTTTAATTTCTAGTGTTAAATCTGTATAATGATAAATTTTATGAGTGATAGGGCAGAAATAATTGCGTTCTTTGTCCATTTTTCCCCACTCTGATCTTCTTGAACATAAAAAGATCTTTGATTGAAATCATTTATAGTTTGTTGAGGATTCAAGTGGATCCAACCTTCCGTTTTTCAACAGGAGCAGTCATTGTTTATTTTGGACGGTCTTTATCCTTAGTCAATGAAAGAACCTTAAAAGTCAAATTTGGTCAGTGAAAAATCTGTTTTTCAAATGCCAGTAGGAGATTGAAGAAAGGAGGAAATTATTTTGATTCTTTGATTCAGACACAGGTGTCTGACATGTCCTTTGCGTTCTTGGCTCCCTTCCTCTGTTTGTTGGGCAAATGATCACATTTGCAAAGTGCTAGCCCTATAGATACAAGGCTAGCAAGATACAAGGCAAAAATTGCATTATTGATCATTTCTATGCCAGAAAGCACAGTTTATAGTTACAGTCCTGGTTCTAACCCTTTTCTCTGCATAGGCTGCTCCAGAATGGAAGGTGGAGAAAGCAGTGCGGATCTTGTAATTAACAAAAGATTTGTCTCAGAAGCTGAGTTAGAAGAACGCCGCAAGCGAAGACAGGAGGAATGGGAGAAGGTTCGGAAACCCGAAGACCCCAAAGGTATTTGGCTGTCAGTTGGGGGATTATCTAAAAAGTCATTCATCCTGCCCGATACTGATTTCTGGCCATGTCGATCTCTGCCTCTTTAGCAATAAGATACCACTCATGTAGATGGGTTGGGCACCTCGGGCCACACAAGCATTGAACCAGCTTACCAGGATATCGTCTGGCCAGTTCACATGACATGCCAGGTCTTGGAATTCTTTGGTATACTCTGCCACTGGCCGGCGTCCCTGCTTAACAACTTTAATGTGGTCGCATGCTTTGCAGTCTGCAAGTGGGTCCTCGAACTGTTGTCGCAGGGCCATCATGAACCGATCAAAGTCCTGCAGTTCTGGTGCATCAGCATCATGTAAAGTCACCATCCATCTGGCGGCGGCTCCTTCCAGGGCTAGGGTGACCACTTGCACACGGGCTCCTTGGGTTCGAAAATCACACCCATATTCTTGCATGTAGGTGAACACGTGGGCCACAAAGAATCCCAATTTTTTCAAGTTCCCATCAAATTTTACCCCCAGGGAAGGAATTTTCCTTTCTAACTGCAGGTTTCGGGGTTGGTTCGGAGTGGCCCCCAACCCATGCACCAATTTGGGGGGAGGCTTTTCTGGGTTCCTAGCTGTTGCTGCTATGCCATCAGCTTGATCAGCAGGGACCAGAGGGGGGTTAGTTCCCCTGCCGTCACCCCCATTTGCCGCCCTTCCAATGCTTCTCGGTTGCCGGTCTGGCTCCCCCCGGATGTTGAGATTTTCCAAAATTTCCATCACCAACTGGGTTACATGCTTCTTCAGAGGATCCTCTCTCAGCACAGCTTCATTTAGCTCCTCTTGGTCAGAGGGGGCTTTTAACTCCAATTTCCACCCTGGCTTTGCGGCTGCCTCGGGTAAGAGTGACTCCCCTGGTCTTCCCTTCCCAGCCGTCTTTTGTCCCGATTCTGATTGACCAACGGGGATTTTTGGGGTCCTCCAAGCTCACTCAGTTCTCTCTGCCAGGATACAAGGAGCAGGTCTCTGGTTGTGGAGGGGTTTCCATCTCCCTCCAGCAGTCAGTTTCCCCTTGTTCACTATTATGCTCAGACATGGTTTGCTGGATCCCCTTGGTAGAGTAAAAATGTTTCTCTCCTGGTTGACCACTTTGCAGAGAGATGCTGCTTTATGTAATGGCTCCTCTCCTAACTTGAGAAAGTAAAGACTCTTGAAACGGATTATTTCAAAAGGAACCTTTAATCAAGCAGGATAGAAACCATTAGAAGCAAAGCAGCATCTGAAAACCTTTAGGCCATGCAAATGGGATTAAGATGATAATGACCCCTCCCCTTTGTCCGAATGCAGATTCTTACCAATACGCAAGTATGGAGATGCTTCCTTAACTCTTCTGCCCTGGGAGTCAATAAAGCACACATTCCCATGGCTATCTCTA